CCGGCGATAATCACTTCGCGGTGTTGACATTACAGGACCCAAAGAGACAAAGCTACCTCCAGGTTGACAAGTTGAACCAGTCGCTGTCGCTTTGCATTCAGACTGCTTCGATCTATGTACTCCAAATTAGACCGCTTTTGAAATGTCTTGTTATTAATGCCTGTGACAGCGTTTTGACATGGCCTAACTCCACCGTAGCCCAAATCGCTCGTGCTGTTTGAAATAAATCTGGGTACTCATCCTTGTGTTTGCATATTTGCAGACGTTGTACATTGGTAAGACGGATCTGCGACATATCATGCTGCTTCGATATCAAAATAACAGCTAAGACACGGTTAAAAATGTATATATGGCTTTTCATGTGTAATAATTATTATCTTAGACTTAAGAAGCTATGTGTGCGTCTCATATCGTTGGGAATGTAGCAAACTAGCCAAAAGCCTGATACTTTTGTTATGTTCTAGCAGTAAAACCCTTAGGGATAGATTTTGGCTTGTGCTTTAGAGAAGTGGGGGGTTTGGTTTGGGTGCCTTGGTCCTCCTTTTTGGATACTCGTTTGATTGATCCTCCTAATGTGCGATACACAAAAATCAATATGTCTTAACTTCTGCTGCGTTATGGATAAATAACATTAAATTTCCGACCGCACTTGAATAACATATTGAATGTATTGACCAATAGTGTGAGCATAGTGATATTAAATCTTTTTTGAGGAGTCAAATTGCACAAAGGCAAAACTGTATCCAATTAGATAGCAGATAGCCAAGTACCGCTCTCTCAGCTACCTCTCCGACGTATCAGGTCGGAGAGAACAGTGCTCTATTGGTTATCACTATAAAAACACCAAGTTTTTCGCATATTTTACAAATAACACTCAAGGTCCGACATCTCCGACAAAAGGTAACCCAATCGCACATTTTACAAACAGCATCCAAGCTTGTATATCTCGACCAAGGATAAGTCTGACCGACCTAGCACCTGCCAACACAAAGCGTGCCCGTGGGAACGCAGCGCGCTCATTTTAAAGTTCCTCGAGCAGGAGGAGGTTACTTGGGAGTACCTGCAACAGTGCATGCAGCGCGAGAGGGCACCTCTTGCACTAGAAGCTGTGATGGACAGGTTTGGCATGTATCTAGCGTTCAAGGAAAGCCGTAAAGGACAGCTCTTAGCTCGACACTCGGTCATGCAGTACTATCGACAAGCCAAGAATTGGCTGCTCGATCAGTTCCCACAGCATCGAGCAGTGGTTGAAAACTTTTTGCTCAATAAAGGACAGACACTCGAACGCCATTGCATGAAACGTGAGTCAGGGTCGTTTGTAAACAAGGCCCCACCATGCACAAAGTCTGCTTTCAAGAAAATTATGGAATACTTGTATTTAACTGCGGTTACTAGTGCTGACTACCAAGATGCGGCGCTGTTGTGTTTGCTTTGAAACCTCTTTGGGCGTACATCGGACCTTACAATGCTGCGGAAGGCAAACCTGCCTATCGGCTCGGACGACATATTCTTCGTCCGATTTATCCGAATAAAAACTTGTGAAGAGCAAGGTCTTTAACTTTTTCCTGACGAAGACTTCACCACATGTCCTCTGCTTGCCATAGCTCTCGCCCTCGTGACCCACTCATCGCCAACTATATCCGTGTTGAGTCAACTTCCTTAGCAGATAACTATCTCACAGTCCATATTAGCTCCAGCAACTCCGCTCATCGATTTGCTTGATCATCTAGAGGCTGTGGTGTCTTCACAGGATATATTATCCACCGCTGCTAAGAAGGAGAGCATCACAGATAACGCCCCTGGTGTACACAGCTACGTCAACCGTGTTCTTGATCGGGTCGCTGTAAAAGCTGGCGTATCCGAGCGCTTAACATCTCACTCTTTTTAGCGCGGAGGGGCGCAGCATGCAAATGGGGCTGGATTGTGTGTACAGTGGATCTTCGACCGAGGCGCCTGGAATATGACAGCGACAAACAAGGCCTTCGCGTACGTCTTTAATACGGCTTCCGAGGACCATAGGGTTGCCCGGGTCTTGAGTGGGCGACAGCTCGATACCGACGTATCTCTCCTATCATTTGATGTCTTCGACTCCGGTACGCAGACAAAAATACAAACTGTTGCGACAGCGCTCTTCAATGCATTTTAAGGGCTCAAGACTACACAATACAGCGTGAGCGAAAGAGTGATTGAAACGCTTATCACTTACCTGCTGATTCATTATCCATCGTTGAAGCAGCTAAAGAAATACGGACTTGTAGTCACACGTTTGGAAGCGTGTGTAATCCAGCAAAGTCACTCCGTCAGCGAACTTCTAGCTTGGTCTTCACATCTAACCTACTACACGAAGAAAAATGTGCCACCGAATCCCATCAAGGCTTCAGACAGCACGATCGAAATCACAAAGCATCCAATATATCTTCGTCAAGCTTCATTGATTAAGAGTTAATCAAGGTCAACCAAAAGCTCGAATCTCGCGTCTCGATGATTGAAGCTGAGGTCTATAACAAAGCACAACCAAAACCTTCACATGAAAGAAGTGAGGGTAAGGGCAAAGAACCACCAGCCAAACGTCGCCGAACAAGCTCGTCAACAAATCTGAAGGACGTCTGGTTCTTCCGGTATACCCAGGAACCCCGCCTCTAAGATTCGTTTTATAGCTCGATCAAGCACACGAAATCCACCGCCAAACTTGTCGCTGCATTCATGAAACTGTTTCTTGCTGATGGCTTCGTGCTTGATAAAAAGTCTCCGCAGTATCGAGACGAGGTGTTGGAATTAGACGATGTCGCTGAAATGCAGTTACTTTCGTTTCTTGGCGAGCTCAACATCAAGGCCCGCGAAGCACAAAACGTCCTCAAGTCCATGCGCAAGCTACACAAAGCTGGTCATCTAAGCAAACACATCCAACGATACAGTCAACTTCAAGCCGCCGGGCGCATTGTAGACTTAGCACCTGCGCATACTACAAACATCATCGGATAGATTATCATCCCGCAGTACCCATAGATGTTGGTCTTCACGCCATTGTATACATGCTGAGTAATTCCGCACTAATGAAGGAGAAATACAACAAGTACATATTAACAAGATCGACGAGACACTTTAGCTCGTCCTTACTCTCATGATACAGCGTACATACAGCATAGTACAACAATCATTTTACCCTTAATCATCGAGGTCAGCTTGCTCAAAATGTTCTTGGACATGACAATATCGTATCACGATGTACACCATTTACGCACGGGAAACAGGTCATCCGGGTAGCACACGGGCGGCATTTATTTAACCATGTAGCTGCTTACCTGTCATTGAATACAACATAACGATCAATGCGCAGTCAATAACGCGCGTATTAATACACATGGACACGGGTGCACGTACGCAGCAAACGCGTTGTGCACCATTTACGCACGGAAACAGGTCATCCGGGTAGCACACGGGCGGCATGTAGTCCACAATGTAGCTGCTTACCTGTCATTGAATACAGCATAGCGATCAATGCGTAGTTAATAACGCGCGTATAAATTCACATGGACACGGGTGCACGTGCATATACATTGAAGCCTTATCATGTACAAATCGTCCACAGTACACGTGTCGAGGTAGATTGACACGTTGGCACAACTCACGATGTAGTGAAGCAGATCAGCACGTAATATTTAACTTTCGAACACGCACACAAGGAAAATCAATTTGCTTCAATCAATCATATTTTAGGCCCTCCTGTCCACTTATCATTGCTAGCACAAAAATGCACACAAAATTGCACACTATTACACAATTTCGTACTGGCTTTGTCCCGGTCGGAGCGTGTCGGAGGTCGGAGATTTCATGGTATGGTGATTGTCGTCCACCGTACCCATTACTTATCGGAGGGAAGACTGTACCGGCATTAATAAATTTTATTAGTGGAGCAGTGCTGAATATTATACATCTTCCGCGGTAATATTCTCTCTATATTTACTTAGTATGGAGAAGACTGGAGAATATGTACAATTAAGATTTTATGTACATTGACCCAGTCTGGTATCTATTAAATTCCAGGGGCTCACCTGGTTACCGTTAAACGATAGTCGCACATCAGTTAAATTGGAAAACGTCAAGAGACACATCGCTGCTGACCAACTGCTATAAGCGTCACCTGTAGTCTCTGACAATAGCAGCCCATCACTGAACAAATGCCTCTCGCTCGCAACTTGTGCACGCACAAGCCGCAGCTCTATTTTTTTCATCGCTCGGTGAGCAATCCGTGCCTTGAACATCGACTGACCCATTACCTGTCACCAGAAACGAGAGTCGAATAAACACGCAGCACCTGCCAAAGTGTCAGCTGCGACTGCTCGAGACGTCGACACGCGCTCGATGCACTTTCGAGCGTCGAGTGCCCCTGTCACGACGGACTCGACCGAACGCACGTGGGACGAGACGTCGCTGCCGAAACGGCACTCGCCGTGCAAAAAAGACGCGACAATGTCTCTTTCTTCTCCTTCCAAAGGATGCGACACCACAGTCGACCGCCAACAGTCGGGACGGGACGCCGAACGGTACAATAACTCCCCACACAATCGCACGAGATCAGCAACGACTATTACAATCGAAGCACTCGGTTCAAGTGGCCCTCGCCACTCTTCGTGGCTGTTCGTCTCTATCGTCGATCGATCTCTCCAGTACGCCACCGCTTCGATCTCCGACCACTTCGGGTCATGCGCGTGATCTGCGAGACGCTTTCGCTTGAGTGGGACAGTTGTTGACGCGCGTCGCGTCGCTCGTCGACCTGCGGGTCCTATGTCGCCTCTGCGGTCGTCCAGTCTCAAGAAAGCGCCGTCGCCACTGGCAGTCAAGTGGAGATCGTACATGGAGCTATGGGCCTCAAAGACACGAGCAGAGACGCGCGGCGTCGCGTCCAGTTTGCTGCAGACTACTAAGAGCACTACGACGCTGTGGAATGGACAGGAGACGAGAAGACACTACGCTTTTATTCCGCCACAGAACTGGACGAGATGAAGACGCTGTCGAAGCAGTAAGCGCACCGCAGGATGCGCTTTACCGGCCAGTATGAGGACACGGTGCTGGAGCAAGGCTTTTTGGGCTTGCCGATGAACGCACCTTTTTTCTAATCCCGACGGTACTACTGCTTGCTTCGAGGCCGTCGACTGCAACTGTTTTGTTCTGCGGTGCACGCGGCCAAGAGCTCGGGACGGAAAGAGCAGCTCACGGTGCTTCGAGTACTGGACTGCGAGACGCTTTCGATGCCGAAGAAGATTGCGCTATTTGGCGCACAGGTCCCCGGCAGACCAGTTTGATGTTTGACGTGATCGAGGCTAACGGCGAGCGTGTGATGTTGACAGCAGATGCCGAGAGCTCCAAGCGCTATATGGCGCACGCGCTCAGTCGTCTCTCATTCGTAGGAGACCGAAAGCGTTACCAATACTTCTGCCCCTTAAAGTCGCTCGGGCTCGGCTCCGATGCCGCCTTCGAATATCTTGTCACCTGTGCTGAAGCTTACTTGGAAGAGGAAGTGTACAGTGGAAGGACGGCACCTGGACCCTTGAAAGAGGAAAGGAAAAGCAGCTGCACGACCATTTGCCGACGGTGATGGGATCATGCGAGTCAAAACGAGATTCGCACGAAGGCGACATGGTGTATTCGTATTGACGGCAACTCGAAGCAGCAGAATGAAAAAGTAAGCGAGCATGCGACGTCTAATGAAATAAACATGATAAAGGACTTTGTGACTGTGAATGACCACATTCGTTGATCTTCGTGGACCTTACGCTAAAAAAACTGAACAGGTATGCGTCAGTCGACTTTTGGACACAGGTTTAGTTGCATGCGGCACACTGTAAGCTTTAATGGACGAAACTTGCCTCATGAAGGCAATCTAGAAGATGCAAGCGCACAAGGTAGAAGTCATCAGCGTGCAAATTTGTGCTGCATCTACTGAACTACATGTAGTTTCGCACTGATTCTTAGGGGTCGATAAATTTTTGAGCTATTGTGCTGTGCTCACGAAAAGGTGACACTGTGGAGGCCCGAACGCCTAGGCAAGCAATCAATTGACTGCCCGTTCAGAAGGTATCGACACAATCGCAGCAGACGGAAAACCGTACTTTCCTCGACGAGTCGCTGCTCACTTACTTGCTCTTCTGTGAATGAACTCGAAATAAGAGTTCAAATGCCAAGAATCTGGCCACTGTCAATTTGATCTTACGTCGTCTTTGATAGTTTGGACGCTCCCTTGCTATCTTAAAGAACATACATCTTTTTATTGACTAAAAATTCGTTTAGATGGACCCATGTCGTGCCAGCAAGTTTTGCAGATTGCGAGGACCGCACTATATGCACGGATGTCCGCGACTAAAATTTCGCATCACTATGCGTAGTGGTATCTCACGTTAGGCACTCGATAAGTAAACAGGAGCATTCAAGGTTGTTATAGATAGGATGCATCAAGCGTGTTCGGGTAAGTTTGGGTTTCTCAGACTCGCACTCCAGACCCGACCACCTTCTCTGTCTCCGTCACTTCATTTTCAGCCTGACGTATGTAAAAATCGCATCCTGTTGAACACTACTGGCTCGCGATTAGCCCCTCTTGACTCGACATTATGCTCTCACGACCGTCCATAAAGCGGAATGATATGGCAATTGTGCAAAGCAATGATTGAATGCTACTCACTAGCACAGCACGTTACGTTACATTGTCATTCTGTTCGGACGGCTTAAAAAAGTCCGTGCTAGGGCTCTTTCGCTCGTTTTATTTTTCTTTAACACCCTCCGGAATATTAATACATTGGAACATTCCTCCGCGACCTCACCAAAGTGTACTTTTGCTTCCAATCCGTTGCTCAAAGGGACTTTTTAAAACGCGTTATATCGTTTAGCGACAAAGACGTCCAAAGCTTTCTTCACATTACCCCCTCCAATAAAAACACGTTTTTATCGGTACGTATACGAGCAAAACACATATATCAAACCGTCGGAGATAATGACACCGTTTAAGATTTCAATGTCTGCTGATCGAGTTTATCTCGATGGTGTTCGAAGCAGCTTCCATGTCATTCTTTTTGGGGTAACTGTTAGATCTGGATCGTTCAAATTTAGATTGGGCACATTTCATGATCAGTTTAGAATGACCAAATATGATCTGCAGATCATCATCTATCCCTCCTCTTCACCTTCTTCTGTAAGAAAAAAAAGTTTGAATAATCAAAGAGTTTTGTGAGGCAATCAACAATATTTTGAGTCATATACAAAATAGGACGGTTTTCAGATGTAAAATACGGGTGTTCTAATGAATGGCGACAGATTTCTGGTGCCGTGGCCGGTTATACACCAATGTTGATCGTTATTAAAGGGGACAGATGTGCTGTTCATGTCTTATGATGTTGATCGACTTGGCCAAACCGCCACAGCATCCATACCATAAAGCGGTAATAATGTTAGAGCGACTCCCCCCTCCTCTCCTATCGCCGATACTGACGTTTGCTCTGCGCGACTACCATGAAGAATTGATTCCAAACCAGCGCACGTTCCCGATCGAAGACCTCATGACCCTCACGCTGGTCTGCAAGGGCTGGCGCACTCTCATTCTCGACGTCATTGCTCGCTTTCAGGCGTCCACGGCAACTCTCCGCTTTTGTACTGGAACCCGTATCGAAATGTTGGAAATGCGTCGTCTCGCGTCGCAAAGAGGACCTCAGATTGTAGATTTGACAGTGCAGATGGGAGAAGCGACATCTTGTAATAAGACAAATCGTTTTTTCAGCACAGAAACATTGGCGTCAAGTTGGCCATTGAGAGGGTATCAGCCGAATTGGGACGTCGTATTCTCACGGTTTCCAGCTCTGCAACGATTGCAACTATCCGGTAACCAATTGACAAGTCGACAGGTTGAGCTGATTCTCAGAAGTGCCGCTAAATACTGCAAATACGTCGAGTCGCTCGTGTTAGCCGATGTGGGCGGAATGGTACAAGGACGACTATGCTTCGACTTGATCATTGATGCGCTAAGCGATGCCATGAGGACGTGGCACTCTGATGGAAACCAAAGAGGGTTGAGGCAGCTGACGTTACCAGTGCTCAATGATAAGGATTGTGTTCGGTCGTCAAAGCAGCTTTTTGACAGCTTGGCGAAGTTTTGTCCGCGAGTAGAGTACGTTGACGGGTATAAGGTAACGCTTAACGATATGAACGAATGGATTTGTCAAGACACGTGGCTAATTACATTGAATCAGTGGGAACAGTTCAACGCTGCATGTACGGAGTTGCGTGAGTTCCATTGGGCAGTCGTGCCATTCGCCGACCCGTACTTTCGAGTGTTTGGTGAGCACACCAAGCCGCACCTGACGAAGCTCACGTTTGCTGTCAATACGTTCTGGGATTGGCAAGCATATTTTCACGTTGTGGATGAAGCTGCTGAGCTCGATATGCTCTCGTCACGAAACGATGGGATCCGATTAAATGATGCTGTTGCAGACACGTTGTCTTATGGACATCAGCAAAACTTTTCAACGCGACCAGGTTACGGATGTAGAGCATCAGATGTCAGCAGTGCTCTTAAGGGCTGCCCATCGTTGAGTGTCTTGCAAATTGCATTGTCTCCATCTGGTGGTCTTGACGAAATGGTGTACAATGATCCATACGGTGATGACGATACCGCTGACATGGAGCATGCTGTCCACAATATTGACATTTACGACGACGAATTTTGTGCGGCGCTTGTAAAGTATTGTCCGTTGCTGACAAGCCTTTCGATCATGGGGTCTGAGGACGGATTAGATGGCCACGTCACTCCAATTCGAACATTTACAGACCAAGGTCTCGTGGCTCTTGCAAAATTGAAGTATTTGACCATGCTGCAGCTACGTGCGATTAACTGCACAGGTAATGGTGTTTTCCAGTTTCTTGATCGTCTGTCGGATCAATTTGTGGGACAGCAAACGTTCCAGGTCTGCATTGGTGCGTACTCTATCGAATCTAGGCTTGCTTTTTACAACGCGCTTCTGGAATTGTTGATGCAGTTAAAAGCAAGAAATGCAGCAGAACTTGCGTGGGAAAATCGCGAGTTTGTCCTTCGCTTGATGAACTGCAACTTGGAATCGGTCGAACCTGGTTGGAGCGAGCAGTATCTCTGTGATCTTGAACGGGCGTTGACGAGTGTGAAAGAGTTACATCCGAATCTACGCTTCCGTGTCACCACTTCTGGGCGCCGGGGCCAACCTTTCGAAAGCATTACGGAATTCGGGCTGTATACAGCAAATGCTAATCCTAGCCCCTGGTACGGGTGGGATGCCGGAGAGCGGGACAGCAACGCTTCGTTCGTGAATCGCGATGAAGCGACATCAGGCTTCGGTAGAGGTCTAGACCGACTACCTCTTGGGCTGCGGCATCCTGAGCTGCTAGACCCGGACTCTCTACCCATCGATTATGAGCTTCCAGATGACTATTTTGATGACTACGGTGGCTTTGGCGACTACAGCGATTATGGCGACCATGACGATTATGACGACTATGAGAACGGTTACTTCAATGAGGAGAACGATGGGTACTACGATGGAAACGCAGACGAGTTTTGGTTATAAAGCTCGTCACAACAAGTTCGACGCCAACCGGTATGTAAGTTTTGGCTTCTGCACCGACCGTGTAGCAAGTGCTCGTTTGTTAGTTATATATATGTGTGTGTGTGGATATTCTGCAATCAAGCACAGATCTTTTGTGAAGTAGCGCAACCTTCACGTTGTCGTTAAGTGTGTTTTTGGGATGACACTTTCCGGTTATGCCTTTACAATGACATCGGTCGCGTAGGGTACAAGTCTGTCATGATTGTTATAATCATGATGTCATGATGCCATGAGCATGATAGGTATTTTAGCTGGTTGTTTAGGTAATTGCAAGCATCCAAGCGCGCGGAACTTGCTCCACATGGTCAAAAACATAGGCAGCGACCTTGTGTACTTATTGTCACGAAATATTTAGCCCACTACGACGTGTCTTGTGTCGTGTTTATTAAAGAGTGAATCCGCACAACTGTACGAGCGCACATGATAAGAAGTTGTGGCGTTTCTACTGGATATGGCAAACATACCTGCTTGTTGACAATGCGACCTCATGCGAATTTTAATTCAATGGGACAATTACTAAAAAGACATGAGTCCTTTCGAGCGTCGAGATCGAGTCGACGTCATGCAAAGCTGGATTCATGGAGTCATTGTCAGCGCAAAAAATTGGATCTACATTAGACGCATAGCTGCATTAAGAAGGGCTGACTGTAACGAGGCACTGCTTACTTTGTATTGGAACACCAGTACGGAGTTAACTTTACCGACAACAGTGAAGGTCAATGCCCTGCTAGGTATAGACGCTATACAGAGGAAGGGTAAACAATTAAGGCAAGGCTCTAGGCGTGGAAAAAGTAAAACTGTTATTAAATACAATCAAGTCCTATATCTCTAGTTCTCTTTTTTGACCTGACTTAATCATATTTATATAACTAAACGTATGAAAACGTCTACTAACCACCCATTGCGCGCGTCTAGCAGCAATAGGTGGTTTGATATATTTACACCAATGAGTAGACTTTTAAGTCATCTCAACAACATCACTATAAAAGTGATATTGTCAGTAGAATATTACATATAATATTATTTATTGCCATTTCGCACAATGGTCATATCCTGTAACGGGCTTCCCTAGACACTGACCGAACACTGTATGACATTTGCATGCCGAATCCTGTTTGGTGACTACCAACAGAAAAAGTAGACCATCTTTACCTATGAAAGCACGAATGAGTGCACAGACGTCGTCACGGCAAAGTCGAACATATTGGCGCCAAGAGAAGTACCGTGTGTCTATGATCTGTATACGATACCAGATTAGCGAGTTATGAGTATTTATATGAACATCGACGCTTATTCATCCACGTAGGCACAACGTATCGCTTCAAAAAGTTCCGCTCCTCCACCAATGTCTTGAGATAGTCAAGACAGCGAACGCATCACCCAACCTTCGCTGGTCGACCTAGCAAATTAGCTGTGAACCAAAGTGCAAAAATATCGAAGTTTCATTAGCATTAAAAAACCATGATTCGGCACTGATCGATAAATCTTGGCATATGTCGTGGCGCGTCAAACAGTGCGATTTGGAAACCATAGTGTTTACTGCGCTGTCAGTGACGAGTAACTTAAGCTTCTACATAATTGACATGGAGAGTATTTTATTCTAAATTTGGTCAATGATGTAGTGATGCCAATAATATCGTCGCCAGGTAACGCGGTTCTTTGTTTACAACGTTTCGATGTTTATAGAAGGAATCATGGTATGGTTTGAAGCCTGAAAAATGGCAAAAGAAATGAAGTTAATGTAATATATATGAAGGCTCCTCGAAATGAGTCTGATTACATGATGAATTAGGACGTTAAGCTTGTTCTAAAACAAGAATAAGGGAGGGGTCTATCTACAACATCGATCAAATTTTTGACATTTGAGAAGGCACTCGGTCAGTTTGAATTGAGCTAACTAGATTGCAATAAACGCTCTTACGAAAAACTTGTTGACCTCATGGTGAATGTCAAGCCAATCAAAGAAGTACTTGTGAAATTTACTACTGATCGGGTTATCTTTCTTCTCGATCACCTTGTCGAGTCGTAATTTTCTTTAAGCTCATCACTCCTTTCCTTCCTTCTTCATCAGTATACTCAAAGTTGGATTCTTTTTTTATTACGCACTACTAATTAGTGAATAACTTTAGATTCGTATCGCTTACTAAGCGCAATCCTTGATCACAGCATCTCGAGATCCTGACTGGTCAGCGGCATAGTCACTTTGTCGTAAGGATTATCATTCGTCTTAGTTTTCCGTAATTTCTCAATTCATAAGCCATTTAATTCCCGACATAGTGACAGAGTAGCTCAATTTGCCTTCGTTGGCATACTGGGTTTATCGCCATGAGATAAAAGCCCTAATATTCAATTTTTTCGATAAACGTAGCTCGCATCTTGAGAATTATTTGTGTAAAATAAAATTCGTAGACCTTGACTTTACATACTTCCTTTGCATGCCGCAAAACATCTGCGTCTGCCGTTTACTGATATTCTACGATTTAGTGTCAAGACGTCCATAAAGTCGCACATTCAAGAAGGCAGTGCACTATGCCGGCGATACTTTTGCGGTTATCGAGTCAATTTCATCAATCGAATAGCAGTATCATATATCGAGAACCATTCCGTTACCTGCTATCTTATTTTGATAATACTTGACTCAACGGTTCTTTGTGCCTATGTAATGACAAATCACTCGTTTATCAGCAGCGATGTGTTGCTGTGTCGGGTTTGGCACATATCGACACAGCTTCCCAATCGAATGTGCGTGGTCATACTTGGTACACACTGTAAGCACATCAACGAACGGACCAACACGAGATGCGGAGATTTCTTGGTATTTATAAGTATTTGCTGTAAGTGATCCATTCCAGATTCCTTTACTATCAATTGCGTATTCGCCTTTATCGGAAATTGGATCGGATGTGCGTTACTCAAGTGAAGGCGCTCAGTATTTCTTCACAGTAATTTAAAAGTAAATTTGACGGCTCCGTTTGCTTGGTCCACCGGCACAGCCATAAATGAACACTAGAGTGCCTGATCTTTTATCACATCCTTCTCGTCAAATGTCTTTTTTAGCTCTGCGTCGTACGAAAAACACAGCGTGTCGTCCCACATAGAGAAAATCATGACAAATTCTTCATTTAGGTCAAAGCAAAATGTAGACACGGTTCGCTGTAATCCAGGTAAAACTATTGATAAGAAATCATCGGCGTACTTCGGTACTACACTATCTTCCACAACGACGGAGGGAGGAATTGCAAGGATTTCTAATAATACACATACATATTCTTTTTCGTCACACGGATCTTTTCCCAAATCAGCGCCATGTTTAAACCTGTATTTTGATAGTCGGTTGGAACATGACCTTTGTAGGTCGTGAGTTTTAAACCATATACACCCCAACGAATATCGAAAAGGCGGCAATGCACGCTTCATGCAAGAATTAATTTCTAACTCGATACTTGGACACTTCTTGCCGCCTCTTACAACAATTCATGTCTATATCTCACCACGTATCCTTATTAAATGTAAGTACAATAAAAAATGCATAACTCCTATCTTTTGTACCTTCTTGGCACGTCCGAATGCGGTAATCTTCAACATTGATTTGTCTTTCCATGCAGCCATCTCAATATCCTTGGTACCATGTCTCGTTAATGCTTGTGGTAGACGTATACATAGGCAAAAATTCTTGGCGATCTGGTTTATATTTCCACACGTCAATGTTGTCTATATATTTTGCGTCCATCGAGCAAGAACAATCAACGGGTTAAAGTGGTGCGCATTAATGTACAGGTACGGCATGGTTACGTTTACCATTTATAAGCACACCTTTAAGGGGCTGAAGCATTCAAATCCGCATCGCTCATTATGTCCAGAGATTTTTACGATGTAGATATGCCACAACAAGCCTATTCACGTTCATAATAGTACTCTGGACCTTAAGCGTATTTGCTTTTGATGGACGTCAATGTCAAAAGAATTGATCAAAAGAAATTGCCATCGTCGCTTGGCCACCTGATCGGTATAACCCCACCCTCATCACATAAGACAAAAATAGAGTCAGAATTGTGGGCAGCGTCCTGTGATTTGACCGTATCATCTACTCCGACTATAAGTCGGTGATGTGAACAATCAAGAAAGCATCCCGACTGCCTACCTTGATGTAAGACAACATCTTTGAGCTCATGAGTTTTCTTATATATGACTCTTCATCGTCTGCATCATCTTAATGGTTTGAATCACCAAAAGAAGCTTATTCACCACTGTTTCGAAGATGCTCAACTTTACATGACTATAATAATTGGAAATGTAATGCATTATACCTTACCATACCTGTCAACCTTCATCATTTTTTATCATCATTATAATATACTTTTTCTCAAGTGCGAAATTTGGGATTCCGCGCATGGAGTTTTCTCTGTTGATCCTTCGCTTAATGCTGTGGTGTTTTTTAGTGTTGAGGAAGTTGGAGGCAAAAGCAGAATTGAGTAGAATGTTTTTACCGAAAACTATTCTCCGTTATGTCCCTTGCTGTCCTTGTAATTCAAGAAACTTCTGATTACCACCCATGACCGTTTGTGTAAACCGTCTACGCGGTTTTTCACACCCCCTTGAACCGTGCAGAGCCGTTTTCATCAACATTTGGCAATAATTATGCTTCTTCTTGGCCTGAATATGTGATGCTACATGCTGTGTCAACTTGCTGATCGACTAATAAGTTCTATGGAGCTCCAAAACAACCGTCTGCTGTGACCGTCCTGACGCTGCAAACATCACAGTGCGAATATTCGGCGTCGTACTTTTTCAGGTGAGACACGTCGGATCCTTTTTTCCTTGCAGTAAAGTCATCCAGAACTCGCGTTCCTTTATGCAGCCACTAAACGTTTGCGACCAGCGCTAGACTTAGCGTCGTACATAGACTGATGTCGGTCAAATGAAACATATGCATTTTATTTTACATCCGAAGCGAATCCCTT